GGAAATCCTAGACTTGTTTGTAGATTCTCAGCTTTGTTGTTGAAAAAACCCCTAGGCTTTGATACCAATTGGTGCAGGAAAATAGAAATAAAGGCAAAAGAGCTCAATAGACCATCACAGCAAGCCAGATTTGCGTGGACAAAAACAAGAGACCTTGAATCCCTAGATAGGGACTGGTGTTATTGTTCACATCCTGTTTTTACTGTTCAAATCCCAAAATTGTTAGAAACCCTAAAACTTGATCCCCTTTTATTACATTATATTAAAAAAAAGGACCAAAACTACCCCACTTAAGTTAAAATATTATAAAAGTATCCCGTAAGTCCTTCACTCAAATTATAACATAATCGGTCCCTAAATTGCCCTAAAAAGGAATGTAAAAACAGCAAGAAACTAAAAACAAACTCCTTCAAAAGTTGGCCTTCCCCTCTTGGATCTCCTTGTGACTTTAGGATGTGGATCATCATAGAGGAGTTGTCAAAGGATGCAGGGATATGAACGTCTTATGGATGCATACTTGGCGGATGTCAAACGAGCTCGCCGATCTTCTCGCTAAAGACGGAGCACGGGCACATGTGGAAGACCCCGACCGGTCCATCTCCTTTTTTGCTCTGGACCACAGAGGGTTTCTAGGACCGTAGTTAGCCTCTCTCTCCTACTTGTACTCGGGCATTCTTATAAGCCCCATTTTTTGCTACACCATATTTTTTGTAATCAGGCATGTGACAAGGCCAACTTTTTGTATAGGGTCTTTGGACCTATTTTTTGACCAAGATACCTGTCTCGAGGGTACTCTCGGTCCTCTCTCTCCTCTTACAGTTGTACTCCTTCTTATAGGAATACAACGTTAACATTCAAAACAAAAAAAAAAAAAAAGGATTGATGGATTGGGTCAAAAGGGCCATGAGAACTGTCTTGGCTAGTATTGTCTGGTGCATCAATAAAACACTACTTTTTTATCAGCAATAGGGAAGATAGCTCTAAATATTCACTTAGGTATGCCTCAAATAATCCACAAACCCACTATCAAACAACAATTAATTAAATGTATTAGGTGGTAAAACAAGTAAATATCACTTAATTCAACCGTGTGTCCTCTGCCTTACTAATGAAAAGAATAACAAAATGTAACACACAATGAGTCTGATACCTTTTCATTGCCAGCCCTAAGAGCCAGCCTATCAATAAGGTATGTCGCAACAGCAATTTGTCTTTTCATAATATCTTTGGAGTTAAAATGCTTTGCATACGTCTCTCTGATGCTGTCTATGTAATCCTGCGTTCGTATAAAGTGGTATGTAAGAAGACTTAAGATGACTCTTACTAATACAATGCCAAATATCAACATCAAGTCATAGTCATCAAGGGAAAGTATGCTCCACCATTAGACCATGTGAGCATCACATCCAGCAAATACCACTGCATAATACAGAAGGTGAAGATGAGGAAGTGGGACCTAACATGGGGAATGGGGTCATGCCATGTTCTGGTTGGTCCAACTCTCTTTCCCTCATTGTCCATCATTTTATGCACAGAATGATCCAATGGACTGTGGTTTTCTATAGTCCTTTCGATCATAGTGTACTTTACCATCCATGATAACAATGACTTGAACTAAAACAGAGATCACCTTCAACAATCTCGCTTTCTCATACTTCTCCTTGTCACTTTGCCCTTTTAAGGAGCTGCTGGCAGCCAAGAAGACATACTTGAACTCTTTCGTGTTGATCGGATCATTCCAAAATGCTAACCATGTAACAGTGTTATCGTGTTTTATATCTTTCCACCTGTGTAGGGTTATAGATTAATGCCACAAAAGCCGGAAAGAAAAAGATTAGTCCAATCCAAACATGATCGCGACGCAAAAAAGGTATTACGAGTTGCGAATTAAAAGATTTAGGTTTTTGACCTTTGACCCAGAATAGGACATTCTGGAACTGGAGCATTCTTTCCAATATTGATAGTAATATCTTTTGGAAAGATTCGCCTTTTCAACTTTCCCATCTGCAGCACACCACCATGTAAACCAAACAAAAACAATAAAATATACCACGAAACAGGAAGTGGCATCAAAGACATTCAAACCCCTTGGAACTGCCTAAAATCCATCATTAAACTGGCATGAATTATGTCAAAGTATAGGATTGCATAACAGAACCTTGGGATGTTCTCCACGTCCGCGGAATAAGCCAGGTGGTTCTACCCTGAAGTTGCCAACCTAACATGCATACACAGATCAAATGAGTCCACAAGAAGGATCATCTGTGCCACATGGGTTCCCAATAAATGGCAGCAACTTCATATATGATCACCAATAGTAAAAACCAAATAACATATCAATGTTCGATGCGTGTCAATGTTTAGGAAAGAGGAAACAACCAGTTCATCTGAAAAGTGAAGAAGAAAAATAGATAGCATGTAATGAGAGCGAAAAAACAGCAAGCACGTTGCAAATGCACTATTTTGAACATACGAAAGCCGAAGGCCATGAACATTGACATTAGAAAAGAGGATGTTAACAAGGCAAATGGACTCTTAGATGCAGAACACAGGCAAAGAACAAAGTTCACCAACAAATACAATGACTTCAAGCCATTGCAGTGACATTCATCATGTGACAGCTAAATCCTACATCCATAACAAGAATGTTTCAATTATGCTAAACCCTTTTTCTTTTCTGTGGCATTATTACCTCTTTTTTTTTAATATGAGCATGATTACATATATTAAGTATGAAAGGAAGCTAGTAATTGACAAGCAATATCTTTTACCAATGCTGGCCATGTGGTCATCAGAAGCTTATACCCATAATGGAATTCAAAGCAAAACAATCGTTTACACTCCCCTAGGTCCTTCAAGGCGAAAGTTTTGACTGGAAGGGCGTTTAACACTATCATTCTAGGACTTTCCATGAATGCAAACCAAAATCAAATATCCACATCGAAGATCATCATTGACAAAAAGGTACCCACTTCTCAAACTTGTCACGTGTCAAGAGGTGGAACATGGAAAAAATAAGGAATAACATGCACATGTACATGTTACTTTACTAACCAATAGTTAGCCCTATATTTTTTAAAAAGATTTCTAAGCGACTGATCCATAGCTACAACCCATTTCAAACAATATTTTCAAGTTCGGTTTCACTTTGGAGAGCAACAGAAATCCTATTATCCAAGATCCCAACTTCCCATACATAATATTTATGGCCTTTGGAGTGAAGTAGAAATCCTATTAATTATTGTCCACAATGACAATGGATATGTTTTCAGGTCCAAATGGATGTCGGATATCAAAATTTATCACTTTAATGGATATGTTGTGAGATCCAAATGGATGTTAGATATTAAAATTTCTCAACTTACATGGCTTCCAAAATTTAGCACGCTTAGCTGTATGCACCTTCAGGTTTATTATTTCTTTACTTTCGTGCCATAATATAAACCACAATCCATGCTTAAATTATAAAACACAAAGCTTTGTCCATATCGTGCATGGATGCAAACTAGCAACCATGCTAGGAAATAGACATGTGCGACTCTAATAACACCATCATCATTTAATAGAATTCCATGATTTGCATGTGTAAGAGGTTTAGCAATTAATGCACAGACTCACATATGAATGCATGCATGTACGTATAAGTCATGTACCTATGTACATGTGTGTAGATGTGTGTAAAGACAGATTCTAATCCACATATATAATCATTCTTACAGTCCAACTTATCACTGCAGATCAAAAGCATCAGAAACCAGATACCTAAGAGACCACACATCATACAACACCAACAACGAAGCTTTGAATTATCAGATGAGTATGAGCCAAAAAGAGCAAAAAATTGATAAGTATGTAGGAAGGAAAACTTTTCAAACATGACGGAACATCAAGAATTCAATACTCATATTCTTAACCTTCTCTTTGACTCCATCAACAATAGCCCACATGTATTTCTCCTCTAATTTGGCTTTTTCCTCTTTTAAAGCCTTTTTCTCCTGCACATAATAATAGCTCAGTAAGCTTAACAAAAGAAGGGGAGCATCATACTCAAAAGTACCAAACAGAAGAGTAATTTGAGGAGAAAAAAACTTTTTTTTTCCAATTGCAGAATCATATGCTCCAGGGCAACGAATACAACGTATCAACAAGAAACAAGTGTCCTTTTGTGCTCCTATTTTGCTACAATCCAAATATGGCACAAATTATGAACCAGTAGAAAGACATATGCCACAGATTAAAAGCTCAAGACAGATGAAGGAAAGAATAGCAAATAACAAATAACAAAGCACCATATGTTGGTGAGACTATAAACTGGCATAAAGCAAAACTTTTGTACATTCAAATGCTAGAAGAAAATAAATACTTGAAAGCATTTCATTGAAGGAGAATTCCTGCAGTTACTAAAGTCTACAGAACAGTTAAAAGATATGATTAACCAATGGAAGAAGCTTTTCTTTTTTTGGTTAGTCGAAGTGGTAGGATTTTCTTCATTATCTTCCTTATAAAGTAATAGACATTCTAACAATACTTATATCTCTAACCATTTTTTATGAGTTAAATGGCACTCATTTATTAAAATTCAGTCCAAAACATGGCCCAAAATAAATAATAAAATGGTACATGCTTCCTAGAAGAAAAGTTCTAAGCCACTGCTTTGAACATGTCGCATATCTCTTTAAATGCCAATAAGTAGAAAAAGGAAGCCTAACTCACTTCTGCACTCATATGTTTTTTCTTCTCTTTCTCTTTTAGATGCCACTCATAGATTGGAGTCAAATCACATAGCTCAAACTTTTTTATTATGTGGTTCTTCCCGAGTATAACTCTCCAATCATTCATGAAGTTCTCTACGAACTTCGGCTTAGTCGCATACTCCGTATCTTTCATCACTGCAAACATGGTAGCAACCTGCAAGCAAGATGATTCAGAACCAATATATTAACATCTCCAGATTCAAGAATAAGAACATCCAAACACAATATCCATATGCACGCGTCAAATAAACTCACAAATAATACCAGCAACCCTAATCTTATTCCCTGCAACCCACTACCCAATACAATTGACTTGATGGCAAGACAATGGTTTGTCAAAGACGTAACAAGCACTGATCCATAGTTTGCTATATCACCTACTCCAAAATGACATTCCATTCCCTCCAGTTTTTAACAGTACAGAAAAAATAAACAACCCCATCAAAGTAGAAATTATTAAAAAGCATAGCCATCTGGACCTGCGAAGGTATAGGTTCATTCCATCTAATTAGTACCATCTCCAGGAAAAAAATATACAAAAAGATAATCACAGAAAATATTTTCATCAAGATATTTCAAGGAACTGCTACCAAATGGGAGAAGAAGGATTACATCATATCTAACTCCCTCTACGTACATTATGTTTAGGTCTAATATGGGTCAGATTATTCCAGACCTCACAGTCCTAGTTAACCAGTTGTTCCAATCCCGTAGTCTTTATAACACAGGAAATATAAACAACAGCCAAATGACATCGAGTTTTTTCATGCATTTGTTAGGCCAAACAAAAGTAGTTTTTCGTTTTCTTCCTTCCTTTTTTTAGGTCGTGATAGAAATCTTATCAAAACTTCACTTCAGTTTCAAAGCAATATGTATTAGCATTATCAACTGCCCCTTAAGGGGATTCCAACAATTACAAAAAACAAATTGTGTAAATTCTCAATATGAGTTATAAGATTTTTTTCTCTTTTGGGTGTTAACAAGTAGCATGATTTTCTTGAATGAAAGTAGCATGCTTTTTTTTGAACGACAATTGCATCACAAATTTCGATGTCATTCCATACAATAATTTCAGCACGGCGCACCAAACCAACCAAAACCATGATCCAACCAGTGTTTTTAGGACGAGGCCATCGAACCAATGGAGGCACCACTTCGGTCGAACCAGTCAAACCAAACCAGTTCACCAGTCTAACTAATCAAATTTTGAAAAAAAAAGAAAAATGAGAATAGAAAAATATAAATGAACTAACTGGAAAACAAAAAAAATAACTCAAATATTTTTTAAGAGAACTACAATGAAAAAAAAAAAAAACTTACTTTTCCTCACTAAAAATCAAATCTACCCAACCAAAAAAAATCCAAATAAACACTAAAATAACCTGACATAACATCCATTGTTCCATAGAAAAACCAAAAAGGAAAACGAAAAAGGTGTAAACTTAATCATTCATATCAAATTAGGCATAAAATTCCAAACTCCAACCAAAATCTCCAATATTGAACCCTAAAAAGAAAAGTAATTATTAAAATAACCCCACTGTAACTTACATAGTCCAATGAAGGCAAAAAGTTCATAAACAGATGACGCGACAGGAAAAAAAAAACAATTTCAAAAAAATAAAAATAACCCTTTCTAGAATCTTGATTGAACAAAACAAAAAATAAGTGCAATGAACTCAACAGAATGATGAAGTTCCAAATATGTGGCAGGAAATGTCCCAAAGATCGCCAGACAATGGCCTCACGATTGAGAGGTTTCAGGTAGAGAGCAAGCAAGCAAAATGGCCAAACTTGCTTCTCTCTCTAAAACTAAGGTTTTCAAGCCCCAAAACCAACTAGAATATTTGTTTGGACCAAAACATCCCCATGAAGGGTTGAAAGGACCAAAAAAACAAACCAGCCAAAAGAAGGTAGTGTTTCCCGAGAAAAAGTCATTCTCTGGAATACTTCAGCTGACAATACCAGCTATCTCAGTCTAGAGCAGTTGAACCAACTAGTTCACCTACCAAACCACATATATTCCAGTTCAATACCCACACTTCCCAGTCTGGCCTTGATATCACTGGATCCAACACGCAAATTCAGGGCATGCAGACTGAAGAATATAGAAGACGTGAAGGAATGAAAAGGCAGCAATCCAAACATGAAGCAAATATCTCACCTCCTCTTGTTCAGGGGTGAGATCAACGGGTAGCCCATTGTAGAGCATCTTAACACCATGAGGTTTATAAGGAGGAGGAAAGATAACCCCATTGTGTTCCAAAGTGGTCCACTTCTGCCCATCACCAGAACCAGGAGGCCCTTTTGCTGACTTAGATTGCTTCAATTTTTTAATTTCTTTCTTTGTATTCTTTCCAGTTTTCTTGAACGAAGAAGAAACAACCTTGGTTTTTACTGAAATCTTTTTAGCTGAAGCCTGCCCACTAACAGAAGCAGATTTCTTCATCCGCTGAGAAATTGGAAGATCATCCTCATCATCTCCCTTTTCACTCGTCTCTGCTTTCACATCCACTTCTATTTTGACTTTGGAAGAAGGTGAAGGATCAGTTGAAGGCTTTGGCTTCTTTGCCAGCATTTGAGGCTCCCCTGCAAGCCTCTTTTTCAGAATATGATTAGCTTTCAAGGAAAGCTCCCCATTTAAATTCTTTTTGCTTGAACCATTTTGCTGAAACTTTGAAACCAAAGGTTTCTCTTCATCTGAGTCATCATATGCGGGTTTAATAGAAGTACCAGCAACTGCACCACTGGAGGACTTCTGGGGAAACTTCTGGGATAGCGGCTTCTCATCATCTGAATCATCAGGAGATCTCTTAACAACATTCACTGGAGACTTCACACTCATTTTTAAAACCATTGCTGAGGAAGGGAGGGGCAAATTAGGCCCTGAAGAATTATTTCTAACTGTCTTAGCAACTGCAGCAACTCTAGAGTTCAATGGCTTATCATCATCGGAGTCATCAGACTCCACATTCGCCTCAGCAGATGGCCTTTGCAGCGGTTGGCTATCCTTGTCATTAATACCTGTACTCATATCCCTTGATTGGCCTGATTTTGTAGTCAAAGTAGTTGACCTTACTAGGGCTGACTTCTCTGGCAATACCTTGGAAGATGGTAAGGCATTATTGCTTCGCACATTGGAATGTGAAGATTTCACCAGTGATACATTCTTTGGGGCACTGCCATCAGCTGAAATAGGCCTTCCCAAAGGCTTACTGTTCCCTTGAGGTGACTTCTTTGGCACAGCAACAGATTGTTTCAGTTTAGTTGGTGTACTATGCCTCTTAAAAACTAGAGGAACATCGTCATCATCCTCACTGTTTTCAAATTCCTCTTGTTTTAAGCTATTGTCACCAGCCATTTATTCAGTTTGAAGCAATTTTGCATGTATACCCAGCCTCTGCAAGCAATATGGACTGAAATTTAGAAGTGCCAACGAATGTGTCACTGCAGAAAACAAAATCAGAGAAAAGGGTACAAGCATATGACATATGCATCTCTTTTTCTTTTTTGAAACCGTTTGACTTTGATAAATATATATAATAGTTACAGACATGTCACATGCATCTCCATGCATAGAAACGTAGAAGTGCCAAGATACATGTATAGAATTGAAGTGCCATCTCCCTCCCTCTCCCACTCCCACCTACAAGTCATAGGAAGCTATCCCAAAATACATGAATAGAAACTTAGAATGGCCACCTCCCTCCCTCCCCCCTGCCCCTCGCTCCATCCCTCCCAAAATGCTTACTTGTTCATTTGCACAATGAGTATGGAAAATACAAATGAAATGTTTCTTTCAATCCATGCTTACTTTTGCAGTGCAAGAAAACCTGTGTCACTAACAGAACATGCATGAAAATAAAGATTTATGACAGCACAACTCAATGAAGCGAGTTTAAGAAGCGAATAAGAGACCTAAAAAGGATACAATAAAATAACAACATTGATAACGCACGTGAGAGCAATTTAAGTCGTCACTCTTGCAGACATTTTCAATTCACTAATCGCCAAGAAAAAACTTCTATTTTTCAAGCAAATGCATTCCTCGACACTATTTTCACCAAACAATGAATGTTAATGGAATTTATGATACTAAAATAATTGAAAGTTGAGAGCAATCGAAGACATCACTCTTGCAGACATTTTCAATTCCCTAATCGCCAAGAAAAAACTTCTATTTTTCAAGTAAATGCATTCCTCATCTACAATATGTTCACCAAACAATGAATGCCAATGGACTTGATGTTACTAAAATAATTAAAAGTACGTAATATACTTCCAAACAATGAATGCCAATGGACTTTTTGAAGCCCAAAAGCTTTCTTTTAATGGGGAAATATCATGAGTATAAAAACCATCTCAAGATCCTAAAATTAATGAAATATTAGGGGTATTTCAGAAAATGGTTAGTATAGTATTACGTATTGTTGGAAAAATATATAAGGAACCCCACATCTAAGCTCATGTTTCCTTACAAAGTCAAAAAGACTTTTCATTTTTATAGCGGTCTAAACATTCTTCCACAAATGGTACTACACTGGCAACATTCCTCTAAAATTTTCAATACATAGGAAATCCATACTTGGACTTCTTGGGGGAAAAAGAGAACTACAATAGATAGGGTTATTTTTGCCAAAAGTCAGACTTACATGCAGTAATACAGTATAGATAAGTAATGATTCAGGAAAATGCACAGATCGTAAGTTATAAACTTGTTGCATACAAGTAAGGGAGTGGGAAAACAACCCTAATGGTCAGCAATGGATCAATGAGAATATTACATCAAAACTTACATGATTTGACTAAAGTCAACAAACCATTATAGTCGTATTTCATATTAGAATTTTGTCATTGATCTAATATTCCTCCTTAAAATCATCCAACTGGTCATAAATCAAGCAAAAAGGACATTACTAGAAGCTTCAAGTGTTTAGAGCACACAGCACCATTGTTGCATCATGCCTCTCTAGGATGACGGATCGACCAAATGATAGGACTTGAAAAGTCCTTGCCCATGCAATTATTGGATATAAAATTGAGGTGACAGCTTTGTATAACAACTCTGTATAAGTACTTGAATAAAATATAAAATACAGAATATGTATAAGCTATATATTCTAACAAAACTCGGTAATGTACTGAAATTCCAAATTAAAAAGGAGAAATGAGCTATGAGTCCGGAGGGAAAAAAGATAGAGCATCTTGCAGGTTGGACAAAGTTGTGACCAATTGCCAGCAAGTAAAGCAAGATTACTCAGCTCGGTCTTCAACAAGAGTTGTTCCTATGCAAACAAAATAAAGTTATGTGTGTTGGAAAGATAGCATTAAAAAGATTATTCTACCATATTTATGAAAGTCAAATGCTCTACTACGTCAAGAAATGAGACAGTCAGCAAAAGGAGTTTTTTGGCCGGGGGGGGTCGGTGGGAGAGGGGGAGAAATCGGTTGATGCGGAGAGAGAGAAATGGGGAAGAAAGAGAGAGAAATTAATGATTTCCACTTTCTATCTCACATGCATGCCCTAGTTTAAGAGAGAATCTCCAAAATTAATTTTAGAGAGAGAAAGATAATCCCATTTGAATGCTCTTCACTTACAAGAGAATCTCCTTCCCACCGGTGAAACTTAGAAAGAGAAAGAGGAGAGAGTAAACTTAAGCCCGCAGAGAGAAGCTGCTGCCACCAGCGCCACTTAGAGAGAGAGAGAGAGAGAGAGTATACTGCGCACAAATTCATTAAAATATTATTGCTACATTAGGATTTGTATTTTCTGCAACATCTTATAGCTTAAATCACAAGATAAACCCAAAGCATGACATCTCTCCGGAACAAATCAGAAACATTTCCACAGAGACAAGGTAAAAACCAGCACATCAATTCCACAATCTCCATCAAGACCCAAGTAACCAGGCATACAATCATGAAACTAAACACACAAATAAAAGGTGACGGCTTTTCCATTCCAAAAAAAAGAAAATATTACCTTGTCGTCTCTCTGCTACGCTTTTGCTGTACGCTTCCGAAACCCTATCTAGGGTGTTGCAAAGACTGAAAACCCCCAAATAAAAATTATTTTAAGCGAGAAAGTTGTAGTTTGAGCACCCGACCTTTGGGATGCATTAAGCTATGTGTAGATTATTTACCCTAAATATAACCTAAATATAAAAAGTGAACATATTTCGAGAAGGTAAATTTTGTTTGTAAGAGAGATAGGAGGAAGAGTGGTTGTGGTTGATGAGAGAGAAATAGGTAGCTTGCAGAGGAAAGAGAATTGGGGTCTAAGGGGTTGCACCACAGAGCGGGTCAGCAAAAGGGCCAAGACCTGCGACCGAGAGAGGAGCTTCGCTATCCCACCATACGCCCCATTGAATTTTTATTTCGGCTCCGTCACTGAAATCTGAATCTTCCAAGGGGTAGGCTAGGGTACAAATTTCTCATAAAATAATTTCTCTCCCAAACATTTTTATGGCCCAGATCCAAACATAAAAATTTATGTCTTCGGTGCGCGAATATTTCTCCGGTAAAAAAAAAAAATTGCATATATAAACGTTTTGTAGGAAAAATTTACAATTTGCAGCAAAGTGTAGGGAGAGAGGAAAAAGGAGTTTAACCCAATTTTGGTTTTGAAATTTTGAATTTTTTTCATTTTTAATTTTTAAAAAATCTAAATTTTTTAATTTTTTGTTTTTAAAAAATGTTATGAAGTTATAAAAAACGAATATACATGTAATAACGAAAACTTCAAGATAATTTCGTAACAACGTTAAATAAAACAATATTATTTATTTATTATTTATTATATATTATATATTATTTATATATATAAATAAAATGTTGTAATATATATATATTATATTGTACATAGTGGATAGTGGGTGAACGTGTCAAAATAAAAGCACGGGGAATGTTTGCTCTCTTCAAGAGGTGAGGTGAGATTTTGTTTTACCATGAATTATTTTTAAATTTATAATTTTGCAATTTTACCTATATACAATATCAGTAGTTGTATTGATTTAGAAAATCTTTTTTCGAATCTTAAGGAAACTTGAACCATTAGTCCAGTCATGAGAACCGATCTGAATTACCAGAAATAGGAGTCTATATATTGAAAACCAAAGGGAGAAAATTGTGTCGTACTGAATCAATTTAAATCATCTTATTTTTCAAGAGCTCCGATCCAATTCACTTTGATCTTTAGTAACAATTCAACTAACTAAACCACTTTCGGGTCACAGTTCTGATTCAATCCTCTTCATGATTCATTTCTATGGTAGTATTTCGGGTCATTGAAATTCAATTCGACCATTTGACCGCCGTCCATGTGAGTTGATATAATGCTAGCATTCCATACAAGCTCAAAGTAGTTGAATAATGTACTTTCCCTTTGTTGCTCATCAAATAATTTAGCTAGAGGGCTCCATCGCCATTAAACCATAGCTTGAATGTAAATGGTTAAAAATCAACCTTATCATAATATTTCAATATATCAATGTGTGCAAACCTTTATCACATTATTAGTTTTCAGTTTCCATACCTACAACTCTCATATTTTAGGGAAAGGTTTCTATACTTCCCCAACAACATAGAAGAACTATCCTCCCCTTACTATCCAGCCGTCCAATTTTGATCAAGAGAGCCACTGACCATTTGATCTTAGATCTGACGTCTCAAATTATTTTATTTTTAGTTTTTTTTTTTACAAATTGTATGAATATGAAATTTGGTACGTGACATATTCTCATTGGGGTGCACCTATAAAAAATATTAAAAATAAATTTTTGATAAAATATAATGACCAAAACACCCTTGAAACTTTTACAGGTGTTTTGATCATTTTATTTTATTGAAAATATTGTTTTTATATTTTTCGCTAGTACGAGTTTAATAAAAGATTGGACGTCTAAAATTTTGTCTCAAAATAGCTTTTAGAAAAAAGATTAAAAATAAAAGAGTGTAGAGATGTGACATTATGATTGAAACAATCTTAACCCTCCATTCATAATGAAGGGTTGGATAAGGAGAAGTATATAAGTTTTATGCTGTAGAAAAAACAAAAAAAGCTTGCCCCATCTTTTATGCATTCCCAAATCTCTTTTCCCACTTTCTTTTCTTTTTTCATTTTTTGACAAATGTATTGTTAGAAAAAGGGGATTATAACATATTTACAACATCTCTTTCTTCTCTTCCCACATGCTCTCATACCCTCTCTCTCTTACGCTTCCCAAGTTTACCAGGTGGTCAAGAAAGTGTTTTGAATTAAATAATGGTTACGGTTCGTAGAATAAAAACATGTCAGAATGCCTGAACAGATAGACCCATCAAAATGAAAACACGTGTCTTAAAGGTGTGTTCTATTTGGCACCACATAAGGCATGTGTTCTATTCGGCACCGCATAAGTGAGATCGATCCAAATAAAACACATGCCTTATTTTATTTGTGAGGCACAACGACACGGTCCGTGTGAGGGATCGACAGCCTTGAATCTTTTGGCCAACTTAGTGATAGGAAAAACAGAAGCTATTGTCTGTAAATGCACTAATTTCAAATGAGTAATGATCTTATAGGACCTCCCACCTCCCAAAGGATCACTATAAAAGTTGGTATGGATCTCTAAAAACATTATCACATAAGTGTAAGACTTGACTGTTCTAAAGATTTGTATCAACTTTAATGGTGATCCTTTGAAAGTCCTACATACATAAGTGGGTGAGGTCCTATAGGATAATTTCTCATTTCAAAATCCTAAAAGGGAACTTTGGAGTTTGATTTTGAGCGAACCATGGATAAAATCCTAGTCAGACCAAAACCCTAACCGGGACTTTAAACTTGTCCTCTCATACCTTGAATTTACTCTTCCATTTCCTGCAACTTTAAATTCATTTTCTAGTTCATTTCAACCTAAATCTTAAGTTCAATCCTAAGCACCACCATTTTCTAGTTCATTTCAACCTAAATCTTAAGTTCAATCCTAAGCACCACCATTTTCTAGTTCATTTCAACCTAATCTTAAGTTCAATCGTATAGTTCATTTCAACCTAAATCTTAAGTTCAATCCTAAGCACCATAACCTAAGCTTAAGAGACCACCTCCTTTTTTCTAGTTCATTTCCCAAAAATTTCAATAACTCAATGGGATGTATATGGACTAGAAGTCACATGCAACTAGCAGCAGCCTTGTGCTATGAGGGAGAAAAAAAGAAAACAAGTGAGAAGAGAACAAGGGAGCATAAGGATGAAAAAGAGCCAAAATGAAAGTACGAAATACTAAGAATGGAAATAAGAATTTCCAATAAAAAGAAGTAAATAAAATTGCTACGAAAAACAACAAACTCATAGAAGATAGTTAGTACGAAAAGAAAATTCCAGGAGATCTTTATGTAGCATATCCATTCCTCCATTATACAAGTAGAAAACCAAACCTCGCACAGTTTTGGGCATTTACCCTTGATCTAGAGAGTTTTATTGCCCTTTGCCATCCTTATAACCTTCAATCTCCAATTTCTACAATTATGTCCGAGTGACAACTAATGGAACCATTGTTGTACAAAAAAGTGTGAAATATTCAGTTATATTGGATGATATTTACAGTTCCAGCCAAGCCAAATTAGACCCTATGAAATCAGGGTTGCTGATATGGACAAATATGGGCAATTTAACCATGAAAACAAATTCATAGATTTCTTGAGATTTGAAATAGGTGGGTGACACAAGTCATGTTATACCATATTTTTCTCAAAATATTACCCATATATCTGTTATAAAGTCATTGTTTCTTGAAAAACGAACAAAAATGTACACACTATCGTATGAATCCTCACTTCATTTCAGTTCATCATAGAGACTTTGCGCTTTAAGTGATTTTGCCGGAGGGAACAACCTTGACTTGGCTGCTCATCTTCCTCACTTTCGCTGTCCGACACAATAATACCAGTAAACTCAACCTTCTGGTTTAGGCTTTTGGCATCCAAGTCATAGTCTAAAGGCAAAACCTGATTCAAGTTGCTAGCTTTAGGTTGTTGGTGAATGATTCCAGGAGTGCTTGTGGCCAAGGGCAGTAGTTGGGATGAACCAGTGCTGACTGATAACCCAATGCTCAAACTTCTCTCAAACTGGGTTTTGTGGCTCTCCTCAGTATTCGAACGCCCAGAAAATGACGATTCCAATGACAGTTTCTTGCTCACAGCATTCAGTTTCTTGCTCTCCACTCCCTCTTTCCTCTGCTGCTTGAGGTTGTGATTTTCTTGTTCGACCTTAACATAGTGAAAACAGACAAGATGAGGTGCATTATCGACTTCTCAGGAATCCACATTTAGGAAAGATCACTACCATTGGGGGCATTTTGCCAATGCTGGCCTTTGTGTTAGCAGAACTAGACTTCTCTTCCAAAGCATATCTCTGGGTCCAAGATCGTGCTTTCTCCTCAAAGACCTGCCTGTTGTATTTGTACTCTGCACTCTGTACAACCCATCCAAACAAAAATGCTGAAATCATTGGTTACCCCCTCCCCCTTTCAAAAAAAAAAAACACCCACACACACACACAGACAAAGTTGAAATTTTTAATTTTGGATATCCATTCAAGATAAAATACTTACAGCCTCACGCACAAGGCCATCGTCTGGGTTGGGCTCACTTAACAACAAGCCAATGCTCATCAGAATTGTTGAAATATTCAGAGAAGGTTGCCATGCTCCCTGCAAAAAAAAGAACACAGGCTCGCTCCCATTGATCATCACTGAAGAAAAAACAGCAATCAAAGGCACCTTTTGTCTCAAGAAATAAATAAAATATCTAGCCACTTTCTCCTTGTATCATGCTAACCGGGCCAAAAGAAAATTGATGAAGTATGCAATGTACTAATAGGATACCAATGAAGACCACTGTTATGGTCCCCGCATGCTGCCACCCCCCACTCCCACCCCACTCCTTCCCCAACCCAGAACCCTCTTTTCCTGCTGCCTACCAAATCCACTGCCCACAAACTCCCACTATACTCCTCCAGCTCCAATCCCATCCTTGAACCGCTTCTACCCAACTCCCCTACTTCTGCTCTCTACACTCCTCCTTTGGCCCCAATGCCCATCCATGACTTGCTTCGACCAAATCCTCTCTTTCTGCTCCAGCTCCCTCATTTCACATCTTTTTGGAGAGCTATCTCCCTTGCCAACTGTAACCAGTACCATGGAGACACTTGACTGTGATACCTCTTCGGATGCTGCCACTCTGAACCCAAAAGGAGCTTAAGGACCCACTAACATGCCCCTCACCCTTGAGCTTGAAAGACCTCCTTTTCATATTGCGGAGCACGTCAAGGTAAATAATAAACACATATGGGAACTTCTCAATCGATCTTGTTTGTGGTGATTCCATCTCTTTGGAGTTGGATTCTCAGTCTTGCCCTGCCCCTTTCCCAGACCAGACGCTCCCTAATATGCCTGACTTTCCTCCCTAATGTTTCCCAATGAAGTTTCTCATTTGGAACATTAGGGGTCTTGAAGAACCAGGCAAGAAGTGGGCTATCTTCTCCTCACACCAAATCTCTTGAGGTCTTGGTTATTCTAGAAACCAGGTCTCCTTCCACTGATCCCTCTCTTGTCCATAGCCTTTAGGGCAGGCATCCCTGTCAACTGTCGGCACTGGAGGCCCAGGGTGCCTCCATTGGTATCCAGGTCATCTGGGACATTTCCTTGCACTATCTTTTCAACGCTTCCTTTACGGTTTACTCAACCTCAGTGTTACTTATTCAGTCCTTGGACAATTTTGCTAGGAAATTTACCGAAGCTACTGCCGCAATAGAGCCTCTCTTAGGGATTTCTTACGTCAAAAACTTGGTGAGGTTGCCTCTTTGCCCTTGATCCTTGAGTGATTAGGGAGTTTTCAACACCATCCGGAGAATCCGTGAGACCAATAGACCATCTGGGATCTCTCCCACTGTGATGGATTTCTCAAAATTCACCTTGGAGAATGTCCTTGAAATCCCTTTTAGCCGGTTCCTCCTTCACCTTGTCCAACCACTATGCTAATCCTACCCTAACCAAACTCGATTGCTTCCTGGTGTCCTAAGAATGGGAGACCTGCTTCCTAGGAACCCACTACTGTACACTTTCCAAACCCACCTCTGACCATAAACCGATTCTTCTAAACACTAACTCTCCCCCCATGTCCAAAACTTTTAAGTTCAAACAAGCTTGGTTAGAAGAACCTGTCCTTGGCTCCAATTTTAACTCATGGCAGAACTGCTCTCTAGCCTTTGGCAGGGCTAGCTTTCTCTTACAGAAGAACCGACAACTCCTTAAATTGGCCATCAAAACCTAGTGTCAAAATATATCATCAAACTTCTCTCTGGCCAAGAACCCTCTTCTGGCTGAGATGATATCAAACTTCACTCAGGCCACGAACTCTCCTATGGGTGAGATGTAAAATCTAGACTACTTCAAAGAATCCAGGATCCTCAATGAAGCGGCTCAAACCTGCAGGCTTGAGGCACGCTCCTTGCTAGAATCTTTCTTCAAGAGAGAGGAGATATTTTGGTTTCAACATTCTAGCACTAAATGGCTCAAAGTCGAGGATACCAATATGACCTTCTTCCACAAAGTTGCTTGCTCTAAACAGCACGGTAACATCATCCGCAACATTTTTGTAGACCAAGTGTCCTTTAGCGAACCCCAAGAAATAGCCCTAGTCATCTCCTCCTACTTACAGAACTTTTCAAAGTGTGGTTCACGCCTAACATGTCCGAGCTATCTTTCATTTCCCTATCCCAGGATCAGGCTAACAACCCGACGCTCCCTTCACCCTTGATGAAATTTCGAAGACTATTGATGACCTGGATAATGATAGGACCCTGTGGCTAGTGGTTTTCCGGATATCATCTATTCTAGGTTATGGGACACAATATCTTCCAATATCCTTGCTTTCTTCAGCGAGTTCTATTATTGTGCTACTAATAACAGAAGCATGAACTTCCATTTTATTGCCCTCATCCCAAAAGTTGAGGGTGGCAGTGACATCAAGGATTTCAGACCTATTTGCCTCCTTAACACTTCCTATAAGATCCTCACCATTGTCTTGGCATCTAGGCAAATCTGTTAAGGTCACCTCATCTCTCCCAACCATAGATGCTTCATCCAGAATCATTAGACACTTGATAGGGCCCTGGATGCCCATGAGGTTATTCACTCTTGACATCTCTCCAGAACCTGGGGCATGATCCTGAAACTCGACTAGCAGAAGGCTTACGATCACGTTGAGTGGTCCATTCTAGACTAGGTCATGACTCATGGGTCTAAGGGGTTTCGAGGCAATGGATTCAGGGATGTGCCCCCTTCACTTTCTTCTCAGTCCTCTTTAATGGCTCCCCTAAAGGTTATTTCCACTCCTCCAAAGGGCTCTACCAGTGGAGCCCCACGTCCCCTCTCTTCTTGCAGTTGTGGCTGAAGTTTTCGATGGGTCCTTATCCAAGCTCTAAAAATATGGGTCACCTTTCTGGTTTCAAAACTTTGAGGACACATAACAGTGTCTCCCACCTGCAATATGCAGACAACACCCTTGTTTTCTGCAATGCCTCTCCTGACGAAGTAGACACTCTTTGGTTGTTCCTTCGGTGTTTTGAGGAAGTCACAGGGATGCCCATCAATATGGCAAAATCCAATCTTATGGGCATCCATGCCCCTCTTTGTACCCTCTTCCCTTGCTTCCAAATTAGGCTGTCCTATTGAAACCCTCCCAACCAAATACCTTGGCCTACCCCTTTGTGCAAGCAGTCTAGTAGGACACTCTAGCATCTGATCATTGAAAACTTCCATAGAAGACTAGACATATGGTAGGGGGAGTTTGATAACCGTGCAAAGCGGTGAAAGTGCCTGACTTTCCCTGTTACTGTAGTTTTCACCTGTTTGGGAACAGAAAAAATGGAGAAAAGTCGGAATACAAGTTCTCCCCATTCATTATTTTCTTAACGAAAGCTGATGCTTTGGGGTACCCATGTGTGGCTACTTTTAGTGAAACTCACGCCATCAGTGAAAGTTAACACTGGGACGGTGGCTACTTTGAATTCGGGACAGCTATTCGAAATCTTCGTGAAACACTTGATTTGTTATCTCTTGTCTACTTTTCATGAAAAAAGACCAATTGAAGTGGAGGGTTTCTTCAAACAACAAGGAGCTGAGGCAACTATTCAATCAAATGATATTGAGCATGTTCCCCATCTCTTCTTGGGAACAATAATTATACTATTATAATATTATTATAGAATTAAATAATAATATTATGCATTATAATATATTGTAAAGTAATATAATACTACATTACAATATATTATAATATAATTATATATTATATTATATATTATATTATAATATAATATAATATATGCAAAAGTATTACATTACAATATATTATAATAATATAATGTTATAATATAATATTATAATATAATATAATAATATAAACATATGTATTATAATAATAATATTATTATATATAATATATTTATAGGCTGTGGTTTCTATGTTGCAACCTTAAACAATCCAATTAAGGCGCACCCCCAAATTTTATCATAACATGTAATTTTGGTGAAAAAATTTCTTAAGATTATCTCAAAATCTCTTTTCATATCTAATTATAAAATTTTAAACTCCAAATATGATTAAAATCAAATAGATTTATTAACATATGAAAATTTTGAAAATTGACAATCTAGATAAATTATTGCAAGATGCACTATTTTTGGGACTCAAAATCTATTTTTTTCATATTCATACATCTCGATGTCAAGATGATCAATTAGAGGTTTTTTCAACATTAAAACAACATTTTCCAATGGATTTTTGAAGTGCATTTGTAATTCTACATTTTAAGATTGCAACCTTATATAAACTTTTTCCATATTTATATAATATAATATTCCAATAATATATAACATAAATGAATATCTTCTTTTCAATTATGTGAATAAATGAATATCTTCTTTTCAATTATGTGAATAAATGAATATCCTCTTTTCGATTGTATCACTTTTAATCACTATTTCATACTCATGCAATATTTTTCAAGAAAAATAAGGGGTTTCATAAAGGTTCTATTGATGTATTCTTAATGAGCACGGAATTGTAGTTTTTCTTTTGCCTCCATACCTATGTTATGTGGCTCATGACTAATGTGTAATGACTTTAATACAATATTGTGCATTTTTTGTTATGTGCCTCCAATAGTTATCTGACTTTTATTTTATTTCTGAGTTATTATTAAATAATGGGTATTGAATTATTGCTTGAAGGGCTATTTTTGTTTCTAATCCTTTTTTGGATTTTTCTGTTTTTGTTTTTTTCAAAAAAAATTCTATAATTTTCTATTTTTGTATTTTACTTTTTAAATTTTTTTTAATTTATTCTATCAATCAAGCCAATCCAATGCCCTAAACAGTTCAGCCATCGGTTAAGTCTTAACAACATTGGTTTGAGTTCCATTCGGATTCTATGACAACCGCAGGTTCATCTCGCTCTTGGAATCCAACTTTCAGGCTTCCGCTTAACGAGACTGAGATCTCTAATTTCTCGGATCTTGCTACGGCCCTGCATCTTTGCTTTATAGCCCCACAGGGAGACGACCGGATTATCTGGACCCCTAGTGCCTCAAGAGTCTTCACAGTTTCATCCTTCTATGAAAAACTTACCCAACCACCCACCTTATCTCTTTCTCCTTCCTCCATTGCAGCTTTAACATGGTCATCCTTAGCCCCTCCCAAGCTTCAGATCTTCATGTGGCTAGCTCTCTCCCAGAGCGTACTTACTATAGATCAGCTTCAAAGACGTTGAATTCCTTTACCTAACCGTTGTTTTCTTTGCATGGACGACGAGGAGACCAACGCACACTTGTTCTTACGCTGTCCATTCGCCTTAGGATTTGGGGTGAACTGCTTCAACTCTTCAACATTCATCGGGTGTTACCTGCCTCGATACCCCTTATCCCTACATCCATGCAACTTTACCCTTGGCCTAAGGCAGGTATTCTACTGTGGAAATCTGTGGTAGCAGCTTCTATTTGGGCCTTATGGATCGAGCAAAACAATAGGATTTTCCAAGGAGAACACTCCTCCTGGTACAATACTTTTGTCAACCTTAAATCTTCGGTTGTGTTTTGGGCTACCAACCACAAGAGCTTTAAAGGGGTCCTTTCCTCTGCTTTTTTCCAAGATTGGGTTGTGAACATGCAGCATGGTAGCAAGCGCTTACCTCAATGGTCATTATGGCGACCAATTGACCCAGGTCATTTCAAGCTTAATTTTGACGAATGCTCTCTTAGAAACCTCGAACCCACAGGAATTGGTGCCATTCTCAGGACCCCTCCGATTTCACTATTGCTTCCATTTCCCAATTTCCAGGTCATACTGACTCTATGGAGGCAAAGGTACTTGAGGGTGTCAAGCTCCTTCTTCCCACCAGATTACAGTCTTTTATTATAGAGGGAAACTCTAAGAATGTTATTTCTTGGGCTACAAATTCTTCTCCCCCACCCTGGGTTCTAGCTCATATTTTTTATAAGATTAACTTCCTTTGCAAGGATATGCGCGTCTCATGGAAGGACATATGGAGAGAAAGAAACCTAGTGGCAGACACACTTGCTGAGGAAGGAGCAGCGCAAGATGGTTTTTAGGATTGTCTTTTGGGGATCGGAGTCTGTTTGTTCGTCTTGTGGTTGGCCCCTCTTTCTTTTACTTTTATGTACGATTTATCTTTCCAATTAAGGGTGCGGTTTGTATAGAGCCTAGGATCTAAACAATCAAATTAGAGCCTACCTTCAAACAGTGTCGAGAAATGTGGTTTCAATACAGGAAATTTTTGTGATAGCCTTAAAATATATTTTCGTCTTTATTTATAAAGTTTAAAGCTTCAAAAATAGTGTAGATCGACAAATCTATGAAAACTTGACAATCTTAAAAATTGACAGTCCAAAAATGCATTACAAAATACATTATTTCCAAAACTTGAAATCCACCTTTTTCTCATGTCGATGCATCCTAATGTTGAGATGATCAATTTGAGGATATTTAAGCATCAAAACAACCTCTTCTAGTGAAATTTTTGAGGTAGGCTCTAATTTGATTGTTTAGAGCCTCGGCTCTATATAAACTTTTCCCTATAAATAAAAGTTAACTTTGTCAAAAAAAAAAAAACATTTTTTGTACAAGTACGGCATGACACACCAAACCCCCAGACTAAGGAGTTTATGCATAAGTATGCTTGCATCTAGTAAAAGTAAAAGTCCACAAGGTATAGCTCATGGAGGAAAATCAATTAGGTAAGGTCACAACCCCAATACACGGTTAATGGACCCCCATCACAAAATGAATGAATCAAACACCAATGCCCTAAATTTGAATCCAACTGCAGCAAAAATAAAAGGGAACAGGTTACCTTGGGAGGAAGATTGAGAATGTCAAGGCAGATGCGCCCACCATCATCAATGTTGGGGTGGTAAATGGGTGTCATAAAAGTCACATTGGGAGGTCGGAAAGGATATCTGGGGAAACAAAAACAGAAACAGCAACAACAACAAAAGGTCACCCTATATAATTCAATTTAGGGTGTGGTGTGCGTGTGCGTAGATAGAGTATATGTTTGTGTGTGTTTTCGCTAGTATGATGTATCAAGGGAGAGAAGCAAGAACAGAGGAGGCAAACGGAACAACCTATCAGGCACTTGCACTTTTATCTTGAACAACCCCTGGCTATAAACAGTTCCTTCGGGCCCTTTCAGATCTGAAACAATAAATTCCTCCATCGAGTGAATGTAGTGGAGATAGTTAATAAGCAGCAAGAAATAAATGTATCGTTACAATGGAAATGAACTAATTTGAACATGAAGCACTTGGTGCAAAATATATATCGAAAGGAATCCTATATCCAACACCCAGTGAGGAATCTGCATCATCTTCTTCTACTTCTACTTCTACTTCTAATGGCAATATGTTTCCAGGCCTAAAATAAAGACAACTTCCCTCCCTCCATTTCCAAAGATAAAAGTGAAAAAAATAAAATAAATAATTGGGAAGAAGATACTTACGAGCCTCCAGATTGGTTAGGGAGGAGGAGGAAGAAAGATGAACACAGACGATGCCAGGTGGGGGATCGGTCTGCAACATCTTAACCTCCTTTTGCATTCGCAGAGTAAGCCTGGCCGCCTGCACCGCCATCGAACGCTCTCACTTCCCCTTCCTCTCATGTCATATATAAATAGATAAATTGATTGAATAGCCCGCGCGAAGCCTCCATCTATCCGAGTACGAAATCTGTACTTCACCCCACTCATACGTTTATAAGATGCACTATTTTTTAAACTTCCAAATTTTATTAGTCATGCGTTACAAGATGCACCGTTTTTTAAACTTAAAAATTTTATTTATTTTTTATTTTTTATTTTTTATACACCTGATATCGGAATTATTAATTTCAGAATATTTGGACATCAAAACTTAAATTTTTGAGGTGGCCTCTGATTTGGTTGTTTAGTTTCTTATTACATCACCTTAGTAGTTTTAATTTATGAAATAAGTAATACAAAACAAATTTATTAATATAAGAGAATAGAAGAAGTCATTTTATTTTATAGGAAATATTTTTTTAATATTTTTTGCTACTACAAGTTTACTGAGGATTAGACGTCTAAAAATTGGTGTCAAAATAATTTATATAAAAAAATTAAAAATAAAATAGTGTCGAATAATGACATTTTGATTTGGGCAATCTTAGCCCTCCATTGAGATTAGAGAGTTGGATAAGTGGAAGTATACAAGTTTTATGCTATATGGCGAACATAGAAAGCTTGCCCTTAATTGTAGGGTTTTTTTATTTTATTTTATGTGCCCATGCATTTTGATGTCTAGATTATTAATTTCATAATATTTGGACATCAAAATTGAAATTTTTGAGTTGGGCTCTCTGATTTGGTTGTTTAGTTTCTTATTATATCACGTTAGTAGTTTTAATTTATGAAATAAGTAATACAAAACAAATTTATTAATATAAGAGAATAGAAGAGGACATTTTATTTTATTGGAAATATTTTTTTAATATTTTTTGCTCCTACAAGTTTATCAGGGGATTGGACTTCTAAAATTTAGTGTCAAAATAGTTTATATCAAAAAAATTAAAAATAAAAATAGTGTAGAGATATGACATTGTGATTGGGACAATCTTAGCCCTCCATTGAGAATGGAGAGTTGGATAAGGGGAAGTATATAAGTTTTATGCTACAGGCGAAGTATAGAAAACTTGCCCTTAAATTCTAGTCATTAACAATTAATATTATCATCATCGATAGGATTGTTGACTTGAAGAGTTTTTATTCACTTAAAATTGAGGAAAACGTATCTTGCATAACATTTATTCAACCAATCGTTTTTACCACACAGTTTTACTCAAGGGTGCGGTTTGTATAGCACACCTTCAAATAGGGTTGGCAAACATGGTTTCAATACTAGAAATATTTGTGATAGCCTTAAAATATATTTTCATCTTTAATTATAAAATTTAAAGCTTAAAAAATAGTGTAGATCGAGCAAATCTATGAAAATCTTGAAAATTGATTGTAAAAAAATGTGTTACAAGATGCATTATTTTCAAAACTCGAAAACCATTTTTTCTCATGTCCATACATCTTGATGTTGAGATGATCAAGTTGAGAATATTTAGACATTAAAACAACCTCTTCTAATGAAATTCTTGGAGGAAAGGGGGGGAGATTTTTTTTTGGGTAATTCAACAGTAGGAATAGATAACTTGGTGTGGGGATGGCCAGCCCCTTTTCTTAAAAAAAATGATCAATTTGAGGATATTTATGCATCAAAACAAGTTCTTTTAGTGGGTGGGCTCTAATTTGATTGTTTAAAGCCTCAGCGCTATATAAACTTTTTATTTTGCTTTTTTTTTTTTGGGTAATTCAACATACTAGGAATAGATATCTCGATGTGGTAATTGGTTGTGGTAAGTCAATAGGGATTTGGGCGGTAAGTGAGTGGGGATTTGGGCCCCTACCCTTTGGTGTGAATGGAGTCAAAGACCTCAGCATAATATCAAGGCCCCAAGCCATTTGATAAAAGTATATGAAAAGTGAAGGCCAAATTGCTTTCTTGAGCTCTAAAATAGACGATTTCCAACACTAAAATAAGCCACAAGAAACCAAAACGAAGATCTGAGCATTTTTCCATGATTTCCAATTATTAATTCTGAAGGAGAAAATGTTCCTCTAAGCTAAAAGGTTATGTTACCTTTGAACCAAAAAGCTAATTCCCAAATCCCAAAAGCTTAAAACCTCAAGTAATCAGAAATGATGATATGAAGCAATTTGAAATGATGACAACGGGCATATCTCCAATAGGATAAGATGAAGGGTGCAGTTGGCATATAAATGCATATGTAGGTGTAGTGATAAGGTTCACCTTCAATTTTTATCATGGTATATAATTTTGATGTAAAATGTGCTTAAGATTATCTTAAAATCTATTTTTATATTTAATTATAAAATTTTAAATTTAAAAAATGGTTAAAATCAAGTAGATCTATAAACATATGAAAATCTTGAAAATGGATGGTGTAGATAATATGTTGTAAAATGCACTATTTTTTAGACTTAAAATCTTTTTATTTTTCATAGTCATACATCTCGATGTTGAGATGATCAATCAAAGGGTTTTTCAACATTAAAACTACCTTTTTCTAATGGATTTTTTAGGGGCATCCTTAGTTCTACATTATAAGGTAGCATCCTTATATAAACTTTTTCCTAAGATGAAAGACTGAGGAAAGAGTATATTTCCAGTAGGGGAGATAAGGTCCGAGTCGGTTTTCGGGGCTCACTTCGTACAATCGAACACCAATTGGGACATCCTTATAACAATGGTAAATAGTATTATAGTGTACAAACCCTCTTATCATGGGGGAATGATTTCATGCAATGGTTGTATAGTAGTATAATACACTTGCACGTATAAGAAACTATGTTTTTGGCATTTATATGACCCAAAATTTTGCACACACGTTATCTTCATCCTCATGATCAATCCTAAGAAAAATAAAAATTCAATTTGCACTCTAGATTTGGTCAAGATTAGTACACTCGAACAATGAATATCGATCGTCCATTTGATGAATTTTAAGATCTAGACCTTAACAAATTCAAAATCACTTTTTTATTTTTCAGTATTGTTAATCTATAACATTATATAAGAATTTTGGGAATAAAAAAAATCTTTCTGGCTTATATCTAACCATCTGACTAAAATGGATGGTTTATATTAATTGATCTAGAAAAAAACTTTGTAAAGTGTTTTTTTCAAAATTTTATCTTTTGTAATCGAAAAAAAAGAGTCCACACTTTAAAATTTGTATAATACAAATTTTAGAAGGTGGTTGCATTATACAACGTTGCATACCCCTTCTTATGCATAGAATTGTGCACTACCATAGTGCAAAGGGGCGTATTATTAGGCCACCTTCTTCGGTCGAAACACCGATAACGATAATAGCACAGGGGAAGAAGCGCCGGTCACAGTCCCACCCACCTCACTCCTTTGGTAATCCCCATTTCCCTCACTCTCATCATCCACTTCATTTATTGATCATCCCTGTCTTTGTGGCCTTCAGATCTCTTGCGTGCGATCTCATCTCTTCTTTTCTCTCTCTCTCTCTCTCTCCGTATTCCCCACTGTACTACTCCTTTCCTGCTTCTGCAATTTTTGCTTCTGTGTGATGTAGAGGCCCCTCTCTCTCCCAATCGACTTGTGTTGTTGTAATTTTCTGAGTCTTAGAATAGAATGGGATGCCAATTATTGTTTTTCTTTTTATTTGAGTATGGTACAACTGCTGCTTTACATCAACGTAGTTATGCATTGTCTTTCATGGATTCTATTGTCTGTAAATTCTTCGACTTTTTTTTTGTGATATTTTCTTTGTGAATGCAGCATTTATTTGAATGCTAGTATGATGTTGATGGATGCACCAATGGAACCTCTTTTTGTTAAATTTATATGATGTCATTTTTCTTCGCCTTTGTTTACCTAATTTTTTCTTGGTGAATTCCTATTTCCTTCCAAAAATGCGTCTTTGCTCTTTGGTATCTTTCCTGCACCACATATGTCATGGCAATAAGAAACTTATTATGAGTCTCTACCATGTAAAGTTCCTTCGCTGGAGAGAGAGTGTGTGCGTGTGTGTTGACTGCCCCACATGCAAAAATGAGGGGCCGACATTGCTGTGATTTGCAATCTGAATAGAGAAGGGTGTGGAAGTGGTTGTAAAATCTGGAAAAAAAGAATAAAAAAAATTGAATGCTACTTTTGGTAGTGGAAAAGTTGTACTTGTTTGCGAAGGAAATGCTAAAGAAATGGCAATTGAAGGGTCTGAAAAAAAGAGTGGGTCAGATGGAGAGTGTGCAAGAAGGTAAAACTTGACATTGCATTTGCATTATAGGCACCTCTATCATGTCCCACTGCTCGCACTTGTTGAGCCTTGCCAAATTCAGTCTACCTCAAAACAATGGTTTCATCTAAACCTGAGGAATTAGGCTATTCTATGATACATATAGAAGGTGAATGCTGCAACACCTTGTTCAAATCTAGTTACAACCTAGTGAATAATGACTAGATAATAAATATGCATTCTAGATTGCATATTCAAGTGAACAACATATTGTCCTTGTGTGACACCAAAATGAGAAAAAATATTTAGGTTAGCAATTCAGATTCAATACTTCTTGTGCTCTAGCATTGCTGCTGTGTCCTTGCTCTAGCATTGCTGCTGTGTCCTTGCTCTAGCATTGCTGCTGTGTCCTTGAGCTGTGCTTTCACTTGGATGCGTGATTATGTGTTTGTTTCGTCCTTGGACTAGAACTGTTGTTATTGTGAAGAAGATTGTTCCCTCTCATCTTGTTTATCTTTATTTCTTTTTGATGATGTTAACTGTGTTATATTAAGTAAAAGAAGGTTACAAGTACAACGGTATACCCAAAAAATAGGCTACCCGCAACAGTTGGGTGCCCTATGCAAAAACCCACTAGGGACCCAAAAAATCCCAAAGAAATCTATACAATCAATCACAAAGGGGATAATAATAGAAGGGTTCAGTAGCTCAAAAAGGTGCCAGGGGACCCCTCTGAGGTGTTGTTGGAAGCTCCTTCCCTGACGAGAAGGTCAGCATCAGCTTTTTCTTCCCTCCAGACATGCCTGCACAAGATGGTAAGGGTGCTGGAAACATGCACTACTTCATCGAAGAGATGGACCAAAAGCCACGAGTAAGGGGAAGAGGCGGAGGCCCAAAAAACAGCGTTCTTGGAGTTGCCTTCGACTACCGACAAGGACAGCCAAGGCCTTGGCAAAGGTGGAGTCAGCATGGCCGATGAGGATGGAGAAGGAAAGGTGGTTTGTGCGATAGTGAGTTCTGAAAATACCCCTGATGCCTGAGGGACCTGGGTTGTCGAGAGCACAACAATCAAAGTTAAGCTTGATGATGCCCCTGTCAGGAGGTCTCCACAAAGAAGAATGAGAGATATTGATGGGGCGCAGATTCAGCAAGGCCTGCCAATTCTGGAGGAAATCCGAGAGGGAGAAGTTTCTGAAGGTCTTATGGTGCATGGTTCAGAAGGTAATGAGATTGAGAATTTTATCAAAGCAGTGTTGAGTCGATCTACTTTCCCCCCTGAATATTCTGTTGTTTCGCTCTAGCCAGATGGTCCAAATTTTGGCAACAATAAAGGCTCTCCAAAGGATGAGACCAGATTTGGACCATGGGGGATAGTGAAGTCAGAAAGAGGTGGGGAATAGATTCCGGTATAATCCAATTCCATTGAAAAGGTATAAAAGTTTACTCCACAGGGTGCCAGCTAAATCACAGTGGAGAAAGAGGTGGTCATTTGTCTTCTTGGCAACGGTGCACATAATGCACCTATTGGTAAGGGGAGGAATCTTCTGTGGATATGGTCAATGGTAAGGACTCTTTGGGACAGGGCAATCCAGGCAAACGTCTGAATTTTGGGAGGGGAGAAGGAGAACCAGGCTTTGGCAGCAATGGAAGGGGGGTTGAGAGGGAAGGGAAGCCGGGTGGGCGAGGTGATCTTGTCGTACATGGTGAAAGTACCTGAAGGGGAGGGGGCCCAGATAAGCTTGTGATCACCTGAGGGTGGTAGGAAGACTTGATCGAGAAGCGCAGACAAAGCCGTGAACTCTCTCTTGGTCCAGGAGAGCTCTACGGAAGTCTGGATTCCATGACCTCATGGGATTTCCAAGGGGAAAATAATTAGCCATAATAGTTTGGGGGTTACAAGCGAGGCGAATGAGGAGAGGGAAGAGGTCACGCAGTGGGGAAGAGGCCAGCCAGAGGTCATTCCAGAAATGACTTTTGTCTCCCACACGAGGATGAATGTGGATGTTTGCATGGAATTGGTCCCGACTTCGAAGGATGGATCTCCATAAGCCTGAAATACTGCCCGAGGTCCTACGAGGAGGGATCCAATCCTTGCTACTGTAGCAATATTTGTGGCAAATGACTTGTTGCCAGAGGTGGTCAGATTGGGTGGCGTATCTCCACCACCATTTGCCTAGCACGGCAATGTTGTTGGTTTCAATTTCTGGATGTGAAGACCATCTTGAGCAATGAGAGAGCTGACCTTATCCCATGCGATGAGGTGGTATTTGTGATCATCAGTCCCGGACCAAAGAAAATATCGCCTGATTTGTTTCAATTGGTGTGTGCTGCGATTGAGGCCGGTGTATGGAACAAAGACATCTGAAAGATCGGGATATTGGAAAGGGTGGCTTTGACTAAGGTTTTTCTTCCCAAGGGGGAAAGGTATCTACCCTTCCAACCCGCAAGCCTCCTATCGAATTTGTCGACAATGTGGCGCCATTGATCTAGTCTCGGCATGCCGCGGCACAGGGGCAGTCCAAGGTAATTGGACGGGACCCATCATCTTGGTCGTGGCCAAATTGACCTGAAACCGGTAGCGAACTCAAAATGCTTAAAAAACAGGAGGAGAGAGTCGACTTGCTCCAAGGAAGCATCACAAAAAAGGATGGTATATGGGAGATGATGGGACCCTGAGATGAGGATTGAAAGCCGTGGAGCTAACCACTCAGATAAAATCTAGAGATGGCCTTGCTGAAAACCTCGGCCACAATGGCAAAAAGGAAGGGTGATAGGGGGTTGCCTTGGCAAAGGCCCCTAGAGGCAGGGAAAAAACCCATGGGGGAACCCTTGATAAGGACTGCGAAGTGAGGATTTGAGACAACCCCTCATCCAATGTCTCCAGTGTTGTCCAAAACGCATCATATGTTGAAGAAACTATGTTGAATCTTTTCAAGGATATCCCAACTGACGTGATCATAAGCCTTCTCCCAATCCAGGTTAATGGCTAGACCTGGGATTTTGGATAGTATACGAGAGTGAATGCATTTGTGCGCAATGAGGGCTCCATCAAGGATATGCCTATCGTAAACGAAAGCACCTTGTTTAGGGGAGATGACCCAACTGAGGACTTCTTTAAGCTTGGTGACCAGGACTTTGGAAAGGATCTTGTAGGAACTGTTTAGCCTGATGGGTCTAAAGTCTTTTAGTTCCTCGGCCCCTTCTTTCTTCGGGATCAAGGCAAGAAAGGTGGCATTCATGGCCTTGCTAATAACCCCACGATAGTGGAACTCAGTGAAGAAGGCAAGGATATCAGGTTTAAAAGTCTCTCATCAAGCTTGGAAGATAGCGACTGGATATCCATCAGGGCTTTATCGTAAATAGTATTTTCTGGTGTATCAAGTAATATATTATATTGGTGTTATTGCCCAAAAATCATCTGTTAAAGCAAGGCAGGTGAGCTATGCCCCTACCTCTTTTGAGGCTTCACCATCTAAAGGCTTAAAGGCTCAAGTGGTTAGGAGTTCTTATCAAAGAAAGGCAAAGGACATTTCCATATGGAGATCAGCCAAAAAGTTACAAAGGCACCTCAGCTTGTTTATTATGATAAAACGCATTGCCAAGTTGCCTAGTATGCAGCTGGTGGCAGGCATTCTAGGAAGGCAAGGGTGATAGACCAATGAGGAAAGATCCGGTCTACGAACCTTGTCTAGAAGGAATTCTTGTTGCTGCAAATAGGGGGTGTTGCTTAGGAAACAAGAGGATACGAGTTTGTTCATTGATACAATGGTTTCTTTGAAATCTTTCTTTAGATTTATGTATGACCACTCTGGATGGGTTCCTATGTTAGGATCACATTGCTATCTGCTTCATCATTTTTACACTTTTGGAGTTGGCTCTTTTGGCCAAAAAATGGAGTCTAATTCCTCCTTCAAATATTGATGTAGCAACTTATCAAGGTTTATTTCTTTTTATTTATCAAAAAAAAAAAAAAGTTGGGTTTTAGCTGCGTAGAGTTTTAGGTCCTCTACGTTTTCATAAGAATATATATCTTTAACCCAAAAAGATGATCAGCTTTTTGAAAGCGATTTTTCTAAGATCTGAAACAATCAATCTCACCATTAGAACTTGGCTAGATTTTGGCAAAAAACGACTCATGTTTTCGATGTGACGAAAATGTTGGTGCCTACTTTAACCAAATGCTAAGCTCAACACATCGATTTCTTCCTAAGTGTTTGCTCTACATTCATGGCCTGCAGATCACTAATGCCACATTTGTATAAGCTGCAATACTGTGGTCTCATGTAATGCAGTGCTGTAACTATTGGTGGTCAAAAGGGTCTCTTTCTTTGCCTTTGGATGCCCCATATCAATCGAAACACCTTGTTAAAATAGTCTTTGTGGTCATTGGGGAAAGATTGGTGCACTTAATTCCAACAAAGCACTATTGGACCCGTGTCAATTGTGCTTTGACGGGAATAATGACAGTTGCACAATTTGGACAAGTGCACTTAAAACAAATGATTTCATCGCCCATGGCAATTGCAAAATGAGAAACATGTGAAGGAAGTACAATTCGGTCACCTCATGGAAATTTTGCTTTCCATTCCCAATGCTCATCTTCACAGATTCATATTGTCCAGAAATAGGACAAGGATGCAAACCTGCCCCTGCATCTTCCTCAGTGTAAAGGTCTACTATTTTATCTGTCTAGCATGGCTATAATAACTTGGAGGGAATCATATGTGTGAAATCCGAAGCCCAAATTGTCAAAAGTAGCATCATCATCACATGATCCGATTCGAACCACTAATCAAGCTTCGCCAATCTAGTTTTTTTATGTGGCAATAATCATTGCCAAATAAATCAAAACCAAATCAAGTTGATCTTTTATCGACTTCACACAGGCCCCACCTAAATTTGTAACCATCTCATTTATGATCAAAATTTTGCATGAAAATACTAGGTATATCAAGAAAATTCTTCACTCTATATCCATGCTTTATTTCTTCTTGGACAAACAAAAGTAGGAGCTTCAAACATCTGCCCATTACACTTGGCTAAGTGGGAGCTTCCAACATCTGCCCATCACACTTGGCTACAGAACTGTCATGCATCCCATTTGTGTGTCATGATATGGCTTCAGGCAAGTGTCTCCCAGTTTTAAGTAATCGAAAATTTTGCAGGGACTTTCAACAGAATCAAACATTATTAAATGTGACAAAGCAGTTGCTTAGATGTCCTAGGTCGGGAGACATGATTTGATATGTGAACACAGAGAAAAAAGAAAGAGCAATACCAGTGGAACTCTGATTCTAAGTTGGAGCAAATACTTCAAGAATCACCCGCATACCCATAGAGTGCATGAATGCAGCACAAATTTAGGTCGTCTTCTTAATTTGAATGAGTAATCCAAGAAAAAATAAATATTCTAGGGGATTGGTTATACCTAAGAGGGAAAATTCTTTCCATTGTGGACGCATTTTTGGAGGATGTAACAGAAAGGGTGTAAGTTGGTAATTGATGCTTGCAGTGTTGTTGGGAAAAAGATTAACCTAGCAACAACACCAGCACAAGCTAGAAACAAGGCAAAACGACATTCCATTCTTATTAGTGAATAATATCTGATGATGCATCTGAGGGACCCATAAATGAGTACGGGGAAAATGAAGCACAGACAGGGAGCAACTCATTTTACATGATCTGAGCGAAGCTGGGCATGGCATGGGATGGCATAGAAACACTGCAGGTTTCCCACTGGTACAAATCAGCAGCAGCAGAAGTTGAAGATTAGCTGATGACGTTAACTTCTTGTAGCCGCAATTATGTGGAGTAGTTTGGGGCCTGACAAAACAACAACAACAACAATAACATTCTCAACAAAAAAAAAAAGCAGCAGCAACAACAACAACTTGATTTATGAATGACTGATGCTTGTGAGGATATGCTAGCTTTGGTTGCATGACTAGTACTCACAAAGCATCATGAATCAATCCATCAATAACAGGGTTGGGCAGGGTTACTTGCCGCTCTTTGGTTCTTCTTCTTACTTCTCACATCTTATGTCTCACGACTCTGTACCGTTTCCAACGACACAGCAACCACACCCCTGTGCCCTATCCCTCCGCATTTCACATGGTAACATCTTAGTAAACACACAATTAGAAAGTGATACTATTATTATGGCCCATATGTAACAGTATTGCTCATACTATGTGAAAATTTATGGCACCATCTCAAAGGAAATGGTGCTGTGAACATAGTTGTGTTATTTCCTTAACAAGAAAAAGAATAAGGTGCCCTAACAAAATAGTTGTCTTTTTGTGAACCACCAAGTGAAAGTCCTGTGAACCAAAAATTTGTGGGCCAAAAAAAAAGAAAAAAAGGAAATGTGTTTAGGGATCAGATAATTTGCTTCTTCCCTCTCTTTGTACTCCCCTCTAGCCTTCTTTTGTGACTTGTTCAACTTCACTCATGGTAGAGATATTAGGTTTGTCTTCTCCTACCACCCAAGGCAAGGAATATATACTATGCTTTTCCCTCCATTCAGATTCTGGTTTTGGCTGTTTTATTGTATTTCGCTTTTCCTTTTGTCACATTTCTCAGTGACTTGCCCCTGAGGGTTTTTTGTACCTTTGTATGTCCTCTTTTCCTTCACTACAAGGTTATCAGACTCAAAAAAAAAAAGAATCTGGTTTGGTTATTGGCCTTGGGGAATTCTTGCGGGGGTTTAAAAAGGTTTGTAGTTCTGTTTGCATATCTGGCACTCTAGCTGTTGTGGTCAGGAATAGCCGGTGGATCATGAGAGGCTAGAAGAGCCATATGGTCGATAGTGTTGTCCATACAATGCATATGTTAAGGATAAAGATCCCAAAATGTTAGGTATCTTGATCCTGACCTTTGGGATCTTGCTTGTGACCTTAAAGAGCATATATAGTTTAAGACTATACATGTTCTTAAGGTAGGGATCTATTTGTTCATAACCAGCAAGCACTGCAATGCCTTGGAAATCATCGTTTTGGTCATTATCTTGGTCTTTAAGGTGGGGATCAAGATCTCTAATAGTGGAGATCAAGATCTCTAATAGTGGAGATCAAGATCCCAAAATTTAAATATTGAGATCCCTTTCTCGAAACTCAGGATCGATCCGGAGCGGGATCGCCACCTTGGTTGGGAGATCCTAGCAACTATGTGTGGCAGGTATATATTGAGTTGAATGGGATCTGATGATGTTCTTGGATATGGATGTCACCTTATTGGGCTATCACCTGTGCCTTCCTCGAATGCTCTCTACGAACTTCACACTATTTGCCTTGGCAATGCATCTTATCATACTGACCTAGGACAAGGGTTCTTTCCTATTTGTGCTCTTGCTAAGGTGCCTTTGTACTGACCCTTCTTGGCTGATCTCCACTCGAATATTGATGGTAATGCCCTATATATTCCTTTGGTAGAACTCTGCGCCATTTATGCCTTAAGTCGGTGAATTGTCATCACACTTGGGGGCATGGCGCACCCCCTCTTGCTCTGGGTGATCGCACCGCCTCTTGCTCTGGGTGATGCTTTCAATGGCCATAGCATGGTGTCGAAATCCCAAAGTTTATGCCTCAAATAGCATGTATCACTCGATACACTAAGAAATACTACTTAGGATTTAGAAGATAAGAGGGAACAACATGATAATAGTGGTTGCCAGTCCAAGGACAAAACAAGCACAGAATTACACTCCTATGTGAGAGCACAAGTATTGGGTTTGAGTGTCCCCCCATCCCCCCCCCCCCCCCCCCCCTTTATTTTATTTTTTTCGGATTTTAGTGCTGCAAATGTTATTCACTTAAATACCTTTTGTAGCACGCATTTCGTATTATTTAGTCTTATCCACTAGATTGCAATTGGCTTTTCCCATGGTGTTTATGAACAGAACAGCAAAAATTAGACTACTTTTGGGTAGCCTTTCCTTTACTTCTCACTGTACTCTTTTATTCACTTATTAAAGGTTAACATTCTAAAAAAAAATTAGACTACTATTTGTTGAACCAAGTGTCACAGCATTCACCTTCGACATGTAAATAGAACATAATAGCCTAATTCCTCAGGTTTGGCTAAGAAATATTGGTTTGTTGTTCACCTCAGTGTGCTAAATGGTGAATGGGAAGTTCATGAAAATTCTTTGAGTTTGAAACTCATGCACTATAGTACTACTCTGAGGTGTGCTAAAGTGCCTCATTACAGGAACCTTGTACTTATACTGGTGTTCATTCTCCAAATTTGGGTGCTTGATCATAATTTTTCTTCGAAAGCTCTCCAGCTACCACTCCTTTCTCAGATGCTCCTTGTTATTTCTGGTAACTAACAATGCTTCTTGACTTCTTCTCTCTTACATGTCATGTTTTAGTATGTTTTATTGCAGTTAAACTGTTCTTTGATGTATGTGACAGATTTTCTTTTTGTGCTTCATTTCATAGTAATACACTTTTTTCATTTGTTTTTTTGTTTTGGGTTAAATGTAATATCAACGGCCTCTGAAAAGGAAATGGGTGTTTGGTTATTACAGTGACAAAAAATTTTTTTCACACATGTTATACTCTAGTGTAAATTCCATTATGAGGAAGGCTCCAAGCTGGTTGGGCCAGTCAATTTCAGAGCAAATCGTCTGCAACCATTGTGCTTTTATTGCATAGAGGGGACCTCTATCCCCTCGGCTTGAGGTAAGGATTTCAGTACGTAATCATCCCTTTGAAATGATGGTTTATTATTTCACGGGGTAATGTCCAAATTTCGGACTTGGATTTGATTTTAACATTCCTCCTTGTAGGACCATGGTAAGGGGAAGGGATGCTTGTTGGGAACACTGTGTGTTGGTTGATGCTACTAGACAGAAAGTTAGATGTAATTATTGTCAACGGGAGTTTAGTGGAGGCGTTTACAGGATGAAATTTCATCTAGCACAAATAAAAAACAAAGACATTGTTCCTTGTAGTGACGTACCCAATGATGTAAGAGATCTGATACAGAGCGTATTAAACACCCCAAGGAAGCAGAAGACTCCCAAGAAACCAAAGATAGAACAAACACCCAATAGTCCACACAATAGCTCTTCTGCTAGTGGTGGTTTTCATCTTAATGTTGGATCAAGTGGGCAACGCGGTAGCACTTGTCCATCTTTATTATTTCCTCACCCTTCACCAAGTGGCCAGCCAATTTTAGATGACTCCCAGAGGCAAAAGCAAGAAGAGGCTGATAAAAAGATAGCATTGTTTTTCTTTCACAATTCAATTCCTTTTAGTTCGTCTAAATCTATCTATTATCATGGAATGGTGGATGCTATAGCTGATTGTGGTGTTGGGTATAGAGCTCCTAGTTATGACAGATTAAGAACTACTCTTTTGGAAAAAGTGAAAGTAGAGATAACCGATAGCTACAAGACATACAGGGATGAGTGGAGGGAGTCAGGGTGTACAATCATGTCTGATGGTTGGACAGATGGTAGGTCGAAATTTCTTATAGTGTTTTCTGTTGCATGTCCTCGTGGAACACTATTTCTTAAATCTGTTGATGCATCGGCCCATGTGGATGATGCCCATTACTTGTTTGAGTTACTGGAGTCAGTCGTTTTGGAGGTTGGTTTGGAATACATTGTGCAAGTCATCACTGATAGTGCAGCCAATTATGTATATGCTGGGAGGCTTCTAACTGCGAAATATCCTTCCTTATTTTGGTCTCCGTGTGCTTCATATTGCATTGACAGAATGCTAGAGGATATAAGCAAGCAGGAATGGGTTAGTACCGTCATTGAGGAGGCAAGAAGCATCACAAAATATATATATGGCCATTCTTGGGTCCTTAATCTGATGAAGAGATTCACGGGGGGAAAGGAATTGCTTCGTTCCAGGATCACAAGATTTGTAACACACTTTCTTTCGTTGCGGTCCATTGTGATTCATGAGGACAATTTGAAGCATATGTTTTCCCATACAGAATGGTTGTCATCCTTATACAGCAAAAAATCTGACGCACAAGCAGTTAGATCATTGATATACTTGGATCGATTTTGGAAGTCAGCTCAAGAGGTCGTCAATTTATCAGAACCACTGATTAAAGTTTTAAGGATTGTAGATGGAGACATGCCAGCTATGGGCTATATATACGAGGGCATAGAAAGAGCAAAGGTGGCTATTAAGGCTTACTACAAGGGGAGTGAAGATAAATATATGCCAATATGGGAGATAATTGATAGGAGATGGAATCTACAGCTTCACTCGCCCTTACATGCTGCAGCCGCTTTCCTCAACCCTGCTATTTTCTACAACCCCAGTTTCAAGATTGATTCCAAGATACGTAATGGCTTTCATGAAGCGATGATGAAGATGGTTCTCAATGACAAAGATAAGATGGAACTTACTAAGGAGACACCGATGTATATAAATGCCCATGGAGCTTTGGGCAATGACTTTGCTATGATGGCAAGGACATTGAATACCCCAGGTATGCTAGCCTCAATTTGTAGTATTCTGGAATATTCTGAGAGTTGTTTAATCTGTATAGTTATTTATTTGTTGGTTGGTTATTTTGGCATGACATCTCTTATTTACACCAGGTGATTGGTGGGCTGGTTATGGATATGAGGTCCCTGTATTGCAGAGGGCTGCCATCCGGATACTAAGCCAGCCTTGTAGTTCTTATTGGTGCAGATGGAACTGGGGCACCTTCGAAAATGTTCACACCAAAAAACGCAACAGGTTGGAGCAGGAAAAATTCAACGATTTAGTTTATGTGCATTGCAATCTTCGGTTTCAAGCCATGAATCATTATGGGGATGGAAAATGTAAAGCTATTGTTTACGATGAAATCGATGTGAGTTCAGAGTGGCCGACAGAATCTGAATCTTCTTTTTTCCTCTTGGATGATTCTTGGTTAGACAATTTGCCTTTTGAGTGTAGGGGTAGTCCATCAACTTATGAATAATTTACAGCCAAAGAGTATCTATCTGTGCTTGAGGAAGATATGTACGATATAGGAATGTTGAGAGTTGATAATTTTATCATGTGGATCATTTGAAGCTTGGTAGTGTACCGATTTTGGGTTACTGCATCAGGTCTTGTCTAGTGGTCTAGTGGTTTGGTCGGACCCTTGTTTGTGCTTATGTTTTTATAAGGGTGATGAACAAAGTTGCCAGTTCGATTTACAAACATATACCAACATGCCCAAAATGGAAAGTCTACGGGTTTCTTGAGAGTGGCTAGTATTTAACCAGATCCCATGGTATTATGACAACAAACATGGTATTCTATCGTAAGTGGACTCCACACCATATGGATTTTTCCCCAGAGTATATTATGTAGTCCACTATTTTGTATGTAACAAGTCGTCCCACCTCTCCATTCTCATAGGTTGATGGTGGAGGTGATAAGTTTCTCCTCTTGAGCCAGCAATGGCTGAGAAAGCGTTCATCTCCACTGTTTGTCACTGAGAATGGATCGAGTGGTCACACAAGTAATATAGGAATTGCATACACACATACCAGCATATGCATGTTAAGAGTTTTTTCCAATTCATCGTTTGAAAAAAAAAGAGTTTTTTCCAATTTTTTGCCACCACCTTTTTCACATAAGCCATGCTTCGATAAAGTTTTTAAGTTGCAAACTGGAAAAGAAGAAAAGGAAGAGGATTCTTTCCCTGAAGACATGAAGACTTAGAAAGCCATGATTAACCTGTGCTTCAGGTCGAATGCAAGGACATGCACTTTGAGTGACCTGCCCAAGAGCAACTCTGTTGTGGTTTAACCTCAAAATAGCCAAAGGAACGTGTTTAGGGTCATATGAGCAACCCTCGCAAAATGGAATTTGCTCTAGCAGTGCTTTTTGGAAGAAATTGTAAGTTGGAACCCTAGTTTTAGGGGAGAGAGAAAAAGGGGAGGTCAAAGAGAGAGAAGCGGATGCAAGACAGAGACGAAGGTTTCAGAGAAACGAGGGTGGTTGCAGAGTGAGAGAGAGAGAGATAGGCGAAGTTCAGGGGGAGAGTTTTAAGTAAGTTTCCATTACAGCCCCTTTCAACCTGTGGGCTTAAAACGTGTGAATGAAGGTGCTAAAATCCAAGGTGCTCCTATATTTAGTTTAATGTTCGTGAGTTTGAGACCTGCCTTCTGCGACAAATGCCAAGATATAAGGTATCATCATTTCCTTTAGGAATCCCTCGTACAAATTTCATTTCCCTCAATGACATGACACTTGTCTTTCGGATCATAAGCCAAGCCTGCTATCAGCTGCTTCCTTGAACCTTCTACCAAAAATTCAAAATTCGCCTACTCTTGTAGTAAATACTATCATTTCAACCGTGGGGGCCAATGTGCCCTAACCTCTAAATACATCAAGAGGCCCGATACCTAAAAATCAAATAAAGAAATCTTCCAAAATGAGGCCTCAATTTTCCTCTCACCTCAAAACCTCAATCGATGGATTGATTCTTTTTTCTCTCTCTCTCTCTCTCTCTCTCTCACACACACACACACACACTCACACTCACACTCACACATTTATACCCTGTAGCTTGAACCACATCTCTTTAGACAGGCCTGCCTTTGATACAATTAATCTACATATAAAAGAAACAACTACCATCGAGAATCATGATTCAATCTTTCTCAGCCGATGTTATAGTGGTAATTAGTAGAATAAATTAGCAAGCCGATGGCCCCAAATATGAGCAAGCCAATGCTTAATGGGTGCTGTGAAGTTCCATGGTGCACAAACAGCACCATTTGTCACCACCTCCAAACATACTGCTCAAGTCTTTGAAGTTGCCCATTCAATTTTTTCTGATTGTAACTGATGTAGAGTAAAAATGAGCAAGTCGATGGGCAACCAATGCCCAATCGGTTGTGTGAAGTTTCTATGGTCCACAAACAGCATCATCTGTCACCACCTCCAAACATGCTGCTCAAGTCTTTTGAGCCGCCCATCTGCTTCATTAAATTTTGAAGGCCACCCATTCCCCCAATTTGCTTCAACATCTGGGGAGGAAGGACTTTACTCATGTGCTGTGCGTTCATGTTTCGTGAAAGAGCACTCATCTCCCCCTTCTTCGGAATCTTGAGGCCCTTCATCTTGCTCCATAACTTGGCAAGCCTCTTGTATTCCTCCAACATTTCTATCACTTCCCCAACGCTTCGGCCAGAGCCCCGAGCTATCCTCATGATTCGAGACTCATTAAAGAGCTTTGGGTTTGAACTATCAAGCTCTGCACCAGGAGACCAATTGGATGCAAAATTAGGTCCATGCTTGTCAAATTTACTGATTCAATCAAAGCAGAGTGGTTCAATTTCCACCAATATACAAGTGCAGAAGCATGAAGAAGATGATTTCTGGGTTTTAAGTGCAATAACTGCAATAAATAAACTACTACAATGAGATTGTGAAGAGAATAATATCATGCAATATAGAGAAAACCATGATCTTTTGTAATGCCAAAATAGGGAATATTCAAGTCACTAATGCATATGCTTTTTTATTGGCACCCTACAGAACTGTTGGTTGTTCAATGTAGAGCAACTTGAAATATTATGTATTGACCCACGAGACCTTCAGGAACATATAGAGGTAGTTTGAAAGGTCTGTTCTAGAACATGCAAAACTTGGGGATCTCTTGAATAAAAAACTCTCAATTGCTATAGAGCCCATAACAACTTCAACAGTAAAGAGGCACAAAGAGAAAAACAGCATGCACATGTCAAAAAGATATAGATAATTAAATCTGATGCATGACCTTAATTAAGCAAGGAGAAAATATATGACCTTGAGCACAATAGATCTCTGTGTGAAATAAAAGTAATAAAAGGAGAATGGAAAACAAGAATCTGGTTAAATGCAAGTAAGATTGTGTATTGGGCACAATTGGAATCAATAACCATAGACTTTGAACAACTACTTGTGGGAGGCTTACCTTACAAGAAGAAAAGCAGCTCTTCTAATCACTTATGGTTGTGCTAGATCTATATTACACAAGGAGCCTCAACAAAAAGGACATAGAGGATTGCAAATACAATGCATGACCAAGAAAGGAGTATAAATACAATGAAACAAAATGGAATCCTTAATGTTATAATCCATGGGAAACCCAGTTCATCTGTGAAAATTTGTAGCGGCACGAACACAGTGGCTTCAGGGTAGCAATAAACAGAGTGATTTCACTAGAAACCAAAAGAACAGACAAAAACTCCTTATATTTTAAAAATATGCATGAATGAAAACCAATGGCAATTACTCATTTTCATTATCTATTCAAATTTCATTGTATGCAAAAGATGAAGAAACTTCTCACTCCATACAATTTCAGAAGCAGCATTAGTGGTAGAAGAAGATACCCCTAGAATTCATCCCTTAAAAACTAAAATTCACAGAGAATGCGAACACAAGTAGGCGAGGGAGCAGAAGAGCAATTTTTTTTTTTAATTTATAATTTGCTAGGAATGACCAAGAGAACATGAATTCTTTAAGGGAAACCACTATCTATAGACAAGTCCCTGGAACAAAGATATGGGAAACGAACTTGCCCATCAAAAGAGATTGCTCAAGACAATTTTGGAGAAGTAAGATACTAATTGCTTTGTATAGACATATCAGAAGAAAACAAAACATGCTGCTCCAAGACCTAAACTACAGAAACCTCAGTGGGAACGGGTGAGGAAGAAGCACTTACGCATGCATGCACACACAGATCCAAAGTTTAGCAAAGGAAGAAGACTTACAAGTGCATATGCATAAATCCATATGCAGGACCATTACGAAAATATGAAATTATATTATGCTTTATATTTATCATGCATGTTTACTTATACATATCAAACTATTTTATTTTATTGCATATATTATCATAAACTATGGTCTCAAGCGTGTGTCCATGCGTTTGCAATTGTGTTTGTGTTCATGTGGACATCCATGCCTGTTTAGAGTGTCTCTGCACAAGTATCGAGCATGCATGTGGAGACACAATGTGCACAAACATGTACATCTGTCTTCATGAGAATGCATGAATGTTGGCTATCATGTGTGTGGGTGTGCAAGCATGTGCACTTTGTACATGTGCCTCGGCTGCATGCCTAGTTTTGCTCACATGTAAGTGTACTAGTGTTTAAAGGGAAAGACAATGACAACTATTTTTGAAATGGAAAGACGGTGACAATAATTGTGCACAATGTTTTTTGATACTGTTAACATTGCATTGAAAGTAGAATAGTTACATAGTCCCCCAAGGGGAAAATCGCTGCAGTAGACATTTTAAACGATTCTTTTATTTGATGGTAAACGAGCAAAGCACTGCAACAATACTGAAATAAAAACCCAAAAAATATCCGACTGACCTTCATTAGTCATGGAATCCATCATGGTCATAAATCGTTTGATCCGTGCTTGGCTTTCCTTCTCACGGCCTTTTGGCATGAACTCTGCATTAAATCCAGGTATCATAGAGAAAACCTGGGAAGTTTCAAAGGTTTATTTCTATTTAACAAAAAGGCATTATAGAGGCAAGTAATGAAACACCAAACAGGCACTTATAGAGAGTTAAAGGTTCCAAAAGGAAAACAACACAGTGGAATTAGCGACAGCCTTGGAAAGTTTACATGTAAATCTATCATTTTTCCTTAGCTGCTTATAGATTTCATTCCATGCAGACGGGTACATATGATGATGCAAACAAAATGCATGGAACAATGTGCTCGCTTAAGGTGTTCTAAAATGGTGCTAGAACAGGGCCATAAGGGCATTTATTTGAACCCAAAAATCCATTTAGAATGCCTCATCATCGGTTAAAAAGAAAAACCAAAAAATAAAATAACTCACAATAAAATAAAATAATTAAAATAAAAAACTGAATGTGAGTTCTCTAAAACTTGGATGGGGCGTTAACTGTTGAGGCGGGTCCTTTTTGGCACATCTACTGTGCATATTAAAACTTTTTTGGGGGGCTTGAGTGCTAGGACAAGTAGGACTTATCCAAAAATTTTGGGTCCAAAGGCTCCGCCAAGCTAGGTTTTGATCCAAGGACACATTATATATGTGTGGGGGGGGGGGGGGAGGAGATCCTATTAGCCCACTAGCTAATGGAATAGTATACGCCTGATGACCCAGATTGGATTTAGGCCGATCTAATGATCACGATTGTATTTCATATTTTAATTTTTAATCTTTTTTCTA